CCCCGAATACCCTAAACTATGTGAATCCTTCCACCTTATTCTCCCAGGCACCCCAGTTCGTTCTGAACTTCTGTTTACAATTTTTAGCTGTTTAATTGAAAAAGTTGCCAAAAAGATTGCCAACCTCACAAATTCCCATCTTTCCTGAAGCTGGAAGTTGTAATCCACATAGGAACAGCCGTATTTTAACTTAAACTACAGAAATCAAAGTATGTTGATGCACAGCGTCGCAATCACAAAATGAGCTCTCAAACCCCTGTTCTGCTGGTCCACCATGCCAGGAAAGGAGTGACTTTCAGAATAAAGGCAATGCAGAGGGCTGAGGACAGTGAAATTTCCAAATGCTATCATTATCCAGAGCCAGTGAGAGCCTTTTGCTACTTTCACAGGAGACTACTGGAATAGTGCTATTCCTGGAACTCTTGTCTTGTTCTAGTTGTTTCTTCCCTTTCCATGATGGACATCATCTCTTTCTTTTTCCTTCATCATACTTTTCACATCTTCTTGTTTTAGTTTCTTTTCTCTTTTTCTGTCTTGTTCAGGTGTTTGGTTTTTAAATTGTTCTTCCTAGAAAAGAGAAATCAATATAGATGTATGTAAAATAAAGAACCTGTCACTGCCTTGATTTGCTAACCTTCTGTGATTTATTTTCAGGATTATTCCCTTGGCACCAAAGCTCAGTTAGAAAAGAAAGGGACAACTGTTTTCTGGTGATACTGCTGCTGTCCCCTTCCAGAACAAAGGAAGAGAATTTTCCCTTTCTTTCATTCATTAGAACTGCCTGAGCCACCAGAGTCAGAACAATTTCCATTAGGCAGGCCAGCCGGTAGGCTGGTTCAGATAAATTGTTTCTCCAACTGATATAACAACATGTAAAACTTGCCTTTATATAAAAAGGTTCTCGCTTTCTCCTGCTGTTATAGCATATCAGTGACCAATAAAAAGCTTTAAATTGCAACAGAGGGAAAGCAGAAGAATGCTTGATGAGAAGCATGACTTGTCCTTTATTAAAGGTTGACCGTGGACTGATGTCCGGTGAACTGTAAAAGCACAGAGGGATCACCCAGTAGCACAGGTTATTGCACGGGGGTTGGAAGGACCCTTAAGGACACTTAAGGTCCTTCCCAACCCTAACTATTCTATGATTCTACGATTTTGCCAAATACTTCCACTGATCCTAATTTCAGCTGTAACTTTACTGGATTTCCTCCATTCACCTGAAGAAATCTGTGGCAGGTATCCATACCAGATTTGCTTATTTATCTTTTAAAGTTCCTTCAAAATGGCTTAACCATTTCTGAAATGGGGACTGGCAAAAGGTGTTTCCTAGTGACTACTTCTCACAGATGTTCTAGTACCTATCAATCGCAGAGCCAGGACTTAACAGTTGATATGGGAAAAATTGCAGGATGTGTTTTCTTTGCCATAATTCTGGAATTAGAACTGGGATCAGAGACGTGGAACAAGGATAGTCCTTGGATAAAAGAAATACCACTTACGTGTCCTCCAAAGACTTGGACAGATTTGGGTGAGCTACACCCTTCAAAATCTTTTTACATAGGTTCATAAACTACAGGCTTAAGAAAGATTTATTTCAGTGGCCTTAGGCTAGAGATAATGGTAAGGTAGTGAATATAGTGAATGTATCTATAGTGAATATGAACCACATCCATATATATTGACTCAGACTCGCATGACAGAGGACAGTCCTCTCAAATCAAGACACATGGGAAATCTTGCTAACACCTCATGTAGCTGTTTTGTTGTTTTCTTTACCTCTGTTATTAACAAAACCAAGAATGGCACAGAATTGCCACTGCAGGTTTTAGAGCCATCCATGCATGTGCCCATTTGATCACCTTAAATGTTGCTGCAGTGTTTGGTTGTTTCTCTCAGGGAACTGTTAAGCCATTGCTTCTTTTTTAAAGCTTATTTTTAGATCTATTTCTTGGAGCACCATCTATCCGTGGTGGATAGTCTGATTGTACAAACGACAGCACTTACAAATCACCTAATGAAGGCTAAAGAGCGCTCTGGGATTCATTTGGTAAGAGTGGCTGTATAAATGAACGGCTGTTAATTGTGCAGCTGGCTGACACGTGCAGTTAATCTCAAGTGCAAAAGCACAGAGAAATGTGCTCTGTGAGCAGTTCTGATCCAGAAATACCCGTGAAGGAAAGAACAGAAGCTCAGGGCTACCTTTTGGCTCTGTGATTTATACCGCCCGTGAGGATATCTTGCAATGTTGGCCATGTGTTTTTCAGCTCGATGCCAATCCTCATGCCATCGCTGAACTTGATACTGAGGCTGGGACTTTGTAATTCTATCCAGAATGGCGCGGTTCTCCTGGTTCATTTTCTGCATCTCCAGCCTTTGTTTTGTTCCATTTCAACTAAAAGGGAAAACCACATAAGCAGAATCAAACTTCTCCAAGCTTGTTCATGTTCCCACACCCGGTAACATAGAATGTGAAATGTCTGTCAGTCTTGTGTCAAGGAAAAATAGGTCTTATATCTCTTTTATAAGGTTTTATATCTCTTCTATGGAGACTTGCTCCTCCATGATCATCATTAACTGGGCCTTGCAGCCCAGTCCTTTTGTCTTTCTTAAGAGGATAGTCTCTGCCATTCAGAGGGACCTTGACATTCTTATGAGGTGGGCTGATGCCAACCTCATGAAGTTTAACCATGCCAAGTGGAAGGTCCTAGACCTGGGTTGAAGCAACCCCAGGCACAGCTACAGGTTGGGCAGAGAAGAGATTCAGAGCAGCCCTGCAAAGAAGGACTTGGGGGTGTCGGTTGATGAGAAAATGAACATGAGCCGGCTTCAGTGTGCGCTCGCAGCCCAGAAAGCCAACCGTATCCTGGGCTGCATCAAAAGGAGCGTGACCAGCAGGTCAAAGGAGGTGATCCTGCCCCTCTACTCTGCTCTTGTGAGACCTCACCTGGAGCATTGTGTGCAGTTCTGATGTCCTCAACATAAAAAGGACATGGAACTGTTGGAACAAGTCCAGAGAAGGGCCACCAGGATGATCAGGGGACTGGAGCACCTCCCGTATGAAGACAGGCTGAGGAAGTTGGGGCTGTTCAGCCTGGAGAAGAGAAGGCTGCGTGGAGACCTCATAGCAGCCTTCCAGTATCTGAAGGGGGGGCTATAAGAATGCTGGGGAAGGACTCTTCATTAGGGACTGTAGTGATGGGACAAGGGGTAACGGGTTCAAACTTAAACAGGGGAAGTTTAGATTGGATATAAGGAGGAAGTTCTTTACTGTTAGGGTGGTGAGGCACTGGAATGGGTTGCCCAGCGAAGCTGTGAATGCTCCATCCCTGGCGGTGTTCAAGGCCAGGCTGGACAAAACCTTGGTTTAGTGTAAGGTGTCCCTGCCCATGGCAGGGGGGTTGGAACTAGATGATCTTGTCGTCCTTTCCAACCCTAACTATTCTATGATTCTATGATTCTGTCTTTGTTCAGTATCTTCCAAATGCAGCCCTGCTTATAGGGAGGTTGGGTACATTTTGTAGGAGGAAAAACACTACTTTTTAATGCCAACCCTCCAATCCTGGAATTGCTGTAGTGCAGTACTGAGGGGAGGGCATGGCCATTGTCTGAGGTGCTTAACAGTCAGTTTCAGTTACTCTGATTTATATGTTTGTGTACAAACCTGATGTGCCGAGTTAGGAAGCATGAAGATAATGTATTGCCTCAGACATCTTGGAAACTTCCTGTGATTTCTTAGACTCTAATTTCCCAGGCAGCTGATCTGATCTCGTAGCACTCTCCTGCCACCAAAAAAGGGAAGGCCTTGCTCTTTTCCTTCCCCTGCTCATCTCCCCACTGCTCCCATCTGTGTGGTCTTCTACGCCTTTGCACCAGCCCTGGAATTCATCACTTTGCAGAAGGTGGCAGAAAAAGCATCCAGGTTGTATTGTTTTTGTTGGGTCAGTTTTCTGCTGCTGTCTCGAGTTTAATTAGCTAATGGAAAGGTTTGATGAAAACCAGAGTTGGTCCAAAGAAAACAACAAGATTTGGCCACTTGAATCAGGAAGGTAGAGAGGGAATGAAAGGGAGGCGGATGCACTTCTCTTTCCATATCTTTTGGAATCACACCTTGAGCTGTGGAGTTAACTGTTGCTTGTTGATGCCTGCACTGATCTGGGTATTATTCACTAATGACAAGCCATAAGTTCTATGATGTGATTTTGCATGCTGTGGATATGACCAACTCTCTTTCAGATAATTTCTGTCTTCCCAAGGAAGAATGTCAGGATATTCAGGACAGTGATGTGTAGTGAGTTCTACCTAGGTCACTTGCTCCTGAGCTGCATTTTGCTGTCTGGAGGCACTTTAGGGCTTGATGAGCAGTCTGTCTGTCATGAAGTAGTCTGTCTGTAAATGAGTCACAGGAGATAACAACTGCCACCACAGTTATACAAACCATTCTCTTCAAAAGCCTGTCCCTGTGGCTGACTGATTTGCTGTGCCCTATTCAGGGTGTGAATTTCCTCCTGAATCAAAAATACGTAAGGTGATTCTCTACAGTTATAAATTCTCAAGGCCTATTTTGCTTTGTCTCCTTTGAGGAGTGAATTTTATCTTCACTCCTGCCTGCTTCCTGCTCTACTTTTCTTTTCCATTTTAATTCTATTTTTCGCTCTGTTTTTATTTCATATCTAAGCTTTGCATCTCCCTTTTTCTGGTGGTGTCTGTAGGAACAGCTGGCAAAGTCAGCAGCAATGACTCACTTAGCAGGAACAACAGCTTTACTGAGACATAATAGGTTTGCTTCATTTATTTCCTTAAAGTAGGGCAGTCTTCTCCCTCTTTTTATTTTTTTTTTTCATTCCCACAGTTATTAAACTTAAAAACTAATTTAAAGCCATCTTCTCTTCAACGGAGGGTAGGAGGAAAATAACCCAGCATTGGATTTCATGTGACAGGGCAAGCAAATGGCTTTCTGAAGTGCTGATTATACCTTAGCCTGCCTTTTAAAATGCATGTCCTCAACAGAGCAGTTTATCCTTAGCTATGTTTGTCACTGGGAAGGTAATTTGATAACTACACAGAAATAGTGCTGCTGCTGCTGCCTTATAGTCATTTTTGTTATCAGTTTGTCCCTTTGTTCTCTTGATGCAGGACATCTTCTCCAGCAGCAAACGCTTGTCTCTTTTGATGACAGAAAGTCGATCTTCCTCCAACTTTGTGTACAGGAGGGATAAAGAAATGCTTTTTTTCTTTACAAGGCCATAGCAAACAGCAGTGATGTACCATGAATACCTAACAAGGTGTTCAAAATTGCTGTCCCCTTCTCTACACTGGGTGTAACAGACACTGGCCAGGTAAAGCTCTGTGCTAGTGTTGAGAGAACCCTTTGTGTCACCATTTTATTGCTGACACAGGGAGAGAAAGGCCTTTGCAAGGCAGCACATTTGACCCTGTAGCACTCTCCTGCAACCACAGCAGCAGCCTGCATGATTATCAAATGCACTTCATCAGTGTAAGCAGAACTTCTATAAATATTTGTTGATGTGTTTTCCAGGATCATCATTATCATTTGTGTCTCTAGCAGCCCTCAAAGACTCTTGTCAAAATCTAGGACTGTGATGGACAGTGTACAAACACATGATGGGACTTATCCAGACTCCTCTGAAGTCAGTGGGGCTCTTTCCATTATCTTTGGTGGACTCTGGATCAAATGGTAATTTTTCCATTGACTTCAGTGAGGTTTGGATTGGGTCCAGCTGCAAGCCATTTTTGTCCTGGAGTGGTTGCAAGCTAGTGTAAGAAGAGAAGCAACAACTGGGTGTAATGAACAAATGGAGAGAGGTGTAAGAGGCAGTATAAGCCATTTCTCTTCACTGTTAGCATGATTTTAAGCCTCTTTAAGTTTGATTTTAAAATGGAAGATATTAATAATCTCAGTTTCTGAAGTTAGCTGCGTCAAAAGGGGGATGAAAACTGAAAGAGTCCACTAGAGGAAGGAGAATCCCTTTGGATATCCTGTGGGCATTGTCTGATTTGTAAAAAATGTTACCATATTGTTTTTCAAACAACACAGATCCATTATAAAAGTGGTTTGGGGGGATTGGGAAGGAATGGAGAAGAGGTGAAGGGAAAAACTCATTTTCCAGGTTATCTGAGTCCCAGGTATGCCTTCTTCAGCAGGGCTGAGCTGGAGATAACCAGAGAGAGGCTGGATGGAGGAAAGCACACTTTTCATAGCTGACTTCAACATCTCATTCCCAGAAGCCTCTCAGAACAGAATCACTGAAGAAATAGTCTTGTTTTGAGCATACTAATTCACTCTTCTCCTTTCTCCACTTTTTCCCCCATATTTGATTCTAGGCACTCCAAAGACATTGCAAGTCCTCTATAAAATGAAAAGGAAATCCTGCTCATCCTGCTCTAGTAGTTTGGAGTGGTTAGAGTAACAGGTTTTTGTAGAGAGTCCAGTGCATCTGCCTTGTTACCTCAGGTTTATAATCAAAGAAGGTCAGATACTGGTCACAGTGTAGTACAAAGGTACCAAAAACTGGTGTGTTTAGTAATCCCATCAGGCTCTGAATAACCTCAAGGAGAATGGTTGTAAGGAAGAACTAGTTAGTAGAAGATTGCAACATCAGACTTTCTCTGTCTCCTTCCTTTTTTACTTCCTTCTTTCTTTTCTTCTTTCCCTCCTTCTTTCCTTCCTTCTTTCTCTTCCTTTCTTCCTCTATTTCTTTCTCTTTCCCTCTTTCCCTCTGTAACAGTATGGGAAGGAGGAGGATGAGAAACTAGGACTAGGATCACAGTCTCACTTCTGCAGTTCAAATGAACATGCCTGAGAGTAGTGGGCTCCTGCTGTTGGGTTTTTTGTTAACCTCTGTGTGTGTTGGGGGGGGGGGGGGTGTTATGCGATGTTTCATTTCCAGAGGAACTTTGTCAATGTTATTTTTGCAGAAATAGGAAAGAATTAACAAGCAATTGAATCCCCATCCTAATACAGCATATGATTTTATGCACAGAGGAGAAATGAATTGTTTTGCTAATGAAGTGATTTTAAGGTGCCTGGGGATTATTGTGTGGCATAGTGAGATGATAAACAATTTTAAGGGAATTAATTCTGAGTCTTTACATGGGCTACACTCCCATTGCCCGGGGGGTACTGCTTTGGAGATTAAACCTTTGACAGGGCTGAGCTGCACCCATTTTCTACTGTGCTCATGTTTGGGGTTTTTTAATTGTTGTTGTTGTTTCCTTTTAGTGAGCAGAGTTAATCAGGTAACAATTTATTTTCCACTCTCATCTTCTAATAAAATTTGCCTCTTGGGAGCAGTAAGATTTTGAAGGATGACTGCCAGTCGAGGCTACCCATTGTTATTTCTTGTGCTTTGAATATGCTAACATCCTATTATTCAGTTCATTGCTCAGTGTGTATCTTGATGATTGTGCTATTCTTATTATTTGTGATGTTTTTTTCATGGTTCTACAGAAGTACCCTTTAGGAGGCTATTTGAACACCTTAGCATTTGTTAATCTGAAGCAATCCGATTTCATCAATAAGTGTAAAGATAAAATAAGTTATTTAATGCTGCTGGGAGTCTGCTATTCATGGATCCTGATAGTCCTGTTGCAACAATCAGTGCACTGAGGGGAAAAAAAGGCCCTGAAATTGTGACCATCTGGTCACCTCTTTATTTTCTTTGAGAGGAGATGTGAAGGTAAGCATGCTAGTGCTCAGTGATAAAAACAATACTGTACCTTCATCTTTCTCTAACTTCAGATGATGGTGGCTGTATATTGCAGGGGCATTTGTGTCCATTAATGGTTTTGCTGTCTGGATCTGCAACAGAAATGAAATGTTTATCCCCTTTGTATTGGAAAAACCCTTGCATATCATTACGGGAAATCTTTAAATTCTTGTGATCTGTTTTGTTAGCCAGCAGTAGCGCTATTAAATATATGATTCATTGTATCAGCAAAGCCAGACTTGCCCAGAAGAAAAGTAGTGGAAAATGAAAATGTTAAAGGCAATTGTTCTAAAGTCTGCTTGAGATTCAAAGTGCTCTTATTGTTGGAGAAATGTAAAAACACATACAGTCCATTTACAGCTGTGTTGAAGTTACGATATAGGAAAGACTGTTTAAGATAAGTCAGCAAGCCTTTATTAGGCATCCAGCAGGAATAAAAAGACTAGTGTAAGAAAGCCTTAGGTACTCCTAAGCTGTACAGGTTTTCCAAAGTGCTGCACATTTAGGATGCTGCCAGAATAAGATAAGAATGCTGGAAAAGGACTTCTTGTGTTGAAAGGATTCCCAGGCCTCTTCTTATTAGCACATTAGAATGATCATCAAAAGCAAATTGTTAATCTAATTATTCTGAGTTGACAGTGCAGTGGCACAACAATATTTATCCCCACCTTGGCCTAAATAGCCATGCAATATATGAGAAAGAAGAATAATCTGTGAGATGTCTTGCACTGAATATATCCCGTGGAAGAAAAGCGGGTAATGGAGACTGGAGTGAGACAGGATTTAGAGGTGAGACCACTCTCTCTAATCCTGGAGATTGAAGGGAGTGAGAGCGGATCAGTTAAAACAATGATACCATGATCACTTTTTTTTCCCCAAAAAATAGATGCGATAAACAATCTCCCTCTGTCATACCTCAGACTTGAACTGTTCCATCTCAGGCAGACTCAGCCTATTTAGAACCATTTTTCAGTGATATATAAAGAAGATATACTTGCAATTTAGAAACCAAGAGGCTGCCAAGAGCAGCAGGTATGGCACCAACACAAGCCCTTCACAGAAAGACATGACCAAAGCACTGCCTGAGTGCAGCAGGAGTTTTCCACATCTTTCTGTAGCAGCTATGTGATGAGCCAAGGACCAGGCTTGCAAATTTGATGGCAGACCTGTCATACATACTACCAGGACAGGTTCCTTGCTTTTATAACAGGTTCCTTGCTTTTTATATCCCTGCCCCTCTACTCTGCTCTCGTGAGACCGTACTTGGAGCATTGTGTACAGTCCTGGTGTCCTCAACATAAGGAGGACATGGAGCTGTTGGACCAAGTCCAGAGGAGAGCCACGAGGATGATCAGGGGACTGGAGCACCTCCCATGTGAAGACAGGCTGAGAAAGTTGGGGCTGTTCAGCCTGGAGAAGAGAAGGCTGTGTGGAGACCTCATAGCAGCCTTCCAGTATCTGAAAGGGGCCTATAAGGACTCTTCATTAGGGACTGTAGTGATAGGACAAGGGGTAATGAGTTAAAACGTAAACAGGGGAAGTTTAGATTGTCTATAAGGAGGAAATTCTTCACTGTGAGCATGGTGAGGCACTGGAATGGGTTGCCCAGGGAAGCTGTGAATGCTCCATCCCTGGTGGCATTCAAGGCCAGGTTGGACAGAGCCTTGGGTGACATGGTTTAGTGTGAGGTGTCCCTGCCCATGGCAGGGGCGTTGGAACTAGATGATCTTAAGGTCCTTTCCAACCCAAACCATTCTATGATTCTATGATTCTATGAATAATTTACACCATTGATTGGGACAATGCTGAGCAGTTTCTAGCTTTGTCTGAATTCACTTGAACTGTTTGGCTTCTTGTGAAAACACTCAGCTGCTTTTTTGTGGCAATTATTTCTGAGGAGGTGGGATCCCAGGAGGGGCTAACTGCTCTCAGGCCACCTGATTTCAAGGGGGAGACAAGAGTACTCATCTTAATCTTTTCTAGAACCCCCCCATGGTAAGTAGCTGAATTTTCCTGAGTAACAGAACTAAACTTGGTAAATCTCTGAGGGTTTTAGTGATTTTGGCTTCCTCTTGCTGCTACCTCCTCTGTTTCTTCAGGTGCTTTAAATTATTATGCTATTATTTTAAAACTAACTTTAAGAAGAGATACAATTTGTAAAAGAGAATTGTTAGTGCATCAATCAGTGGAAACCAGCAGTGGGAAGAATGTGATATTTATGTGAACTCTGATATAAGTTTATAGGTATGCGAACTGTATCAAAAGTGAAACAACAAAAGGTGGGTTTTGAAACAAGATTTCTTCTATGGAATTTGTATCAATATAATTTCATTTTCTGGAAAGTGTTATAATTAATTTCTGTCTTGTCCTTACATGCACAACTGTAAAACGTAAAACCTGGTATTTTTTAACCCACCCTAATCTCTGTTGTGGCACTTTCCAGAGCCATGGTGATTTTCAAGCTTTCTTATATTTCATTCCATGCAAAATGTTGCAGAGAGGAGATATAAATCTGTTTTTCCCCCCTGTTCCTTTCTTCCATTAAGAAAATGACAAAATTATTCAGACTGGAAGTGTTTGGTCTTGTGTACATAAAAACATGCTGGCAGCTTTTGTACTTTGCATCATGGAGAAAATCATAATGTATCCCTAAACTTTGCCATCTTTATAATGGTCCTCTCCAAGAAGTGTACCTATTATTATTACTTTTTTTAACGTTACCTTTTTTCTTCCTTGCTCCTTATCTTCCCCCTTTCACTCTTGCTCTGGTTTATTTTTTTGTGAGCTCCACCAATAGAAAGCCTGCACCTCACCAAGCAGAAGCCCTTATATTTTCTCAGAGCAATTCCTGTCTCTCTTGGCAGAGCAAAAGCCTGTGCTGCAGGGGGCTGTGTTGAGGACAGCCTGCTGCCTTCAGGTGCCCCAGCCCAGGGGCACTACTCCTCTGGTTGCTGGCATTCACGGCAGCAAGCCTGAGTTCATGCCAGCAAAGGCATGCTGGAATTTCTGGGCAACTAGCGTGGGAATTTAGGAGCACGCCAGCATGTCAACACAGGGGCACTTGAAGAGGCCGCTCTTTGGCCATTGGAGACCTTGTTAGTCACTGCTTGATCTGGGTGTGAACCCTGTAATAAGGAACAAAATGCTGTACCTCCTAAGCTGTCCTTTACCCAGCATGATAGTTACTCTTTCTCTTTGCTCGCACTCAGAAATTCACACTCATGTTTAATCCAAGAGCAGCTGAGTTGTGGGAAATATTTTGTTCTCTATAAATACATTTCTCCACTATATTATCTTGATGATATCTAACCTCTGTTCTTGGCTTCTGAATGCCTTCATGCATATATGAAGTGCTCTGTTTGCTGAACAAAAGGGAGTTCTGTATGCACAGTGGATGCCCAGAGTATTTCAGTTACACTAATATAATTTTGCTGCTTTAAAAAAGCCACTGTTTAAATATCCATGGCTATATACACTAGTAACCCTCTCGAGATTAATTCAGACAAAAGGCTATTTATTTATTTATTTATTTCAATATTGTTAATTTGGTTAGAAAAATATGTCAAATTCAGTTCTCTACTTCATCTTTAACTGTTTTCCACCTGCAAGTCAAATTATAGGAACAATGGAAGGAAGGAAGGAAGGAAGATATTTTTATACAGTTAATGAAACAGACCCGGTCTGGAAATAATGAAGAACTATTTCTTCGTATTTAAGCTAATTATATTGTGATACAATCTTCCAAAGGTAGCAATACAGTTGAATCACTGCTGATGGTATTCACTATTTTCAAGAGGGAGCAGTACTGCATTATTACTGATTTAAAGCCAGTGACTAACTGAATCTATTTTACATCTAAATTTGGTGAACATCATTATGGTAACTCTAATGGACACAAAAGCTATGCCTAATTTGCTGATTATTCTTAAAACATGTCTCTTGTACCTGGCTGCTGATCAGCAGCTTTCACAACAGTATTAAGAATGAGAAAAGAGCTGCTGTTGTTTTTTTTTGGGTAAGGTTATTCTTTCATAAAGGCCTACGCTCCTTATCAAACAGCTGTACCTACCCTTTTCTTGTGTTCTTCGTACTTTGCTTTGTCCCATTTTAGCTGAAGATATTTGTTGCCACATGGTAAAATTGTCTGATAGGCTTGATGCACAAAATAAAGCACCTCTGAATACGGGCTTTTAGGGGGGGGAGAGAAAAAGAGGAAAAAAAGTATGAGTAATACCAGTCTAAGCCTTTCCTATAGCAAAGCCCTGGAGACTTGTGGTATGTTTGCAGCTGGTCACGTGGGGGTTGTCATGGCATCGCTGCTCAGAAAAAGAATGAATAGCTGGTGGTAGCATTTCAAACAATACATTTAATGAGCAGCAAACAGGAACTGAATGTTATAGCACAGCATTCCAAAAAGTATTTTATTTGTATATAAAATAGATTACCAATTATACTTCACTATCCAGATCTACCTCCCACTGGTGAAGAAAAGATGGTGTTAAGTTATTAGTCAGATTAGATATAAGGAAGAAATTCTTTACTATGACAGTGGTGAGGCACAGGCTGCCCAGAGAAGCTGTGGCTGCCCCATCCCTGGCAGTGCTCAAGGCCAGGCTGGATGGGGCTTGGAGCAACCTGGTCTAGTGGAAGGTGTCCCTGCCTGTGGCAGGGGGGTTGGAACTGGATGGTCTTTAAGGTCCATTCCAACCCAAACCATTCTTTGATTCTATAAGCAATGCTTTACACACTACCATAAATATGTAAAGAACTGTATAATGGGCTATATTTGCCAAGCCTTGAACAGTATGCCTCAGTAATGCTCTGAGCAAACCACAGTGGGATGTGTCACGTTTTGCACTGCAGTAACTTGTTTCAAACAGGTTTTTTTTCATCGATAAATATGCACTTTTCAAAAGCCACAGCAAATGTGTTCATAGTGAAACAGTTCTGGTTTTTAACAGCCTTTTCACCTTTCTTTGTCTGCATGCCATCTGATTGCTAACAATTACAGAAAGCTCAGACAGATTTCCAAATGCTAACTATTTACGAAGCTGACCACTGGCTCTCACTCAGGGCCACCTTGGCTTGCTTTCTTTGTAGGCAATATTTGGCAAGGAGATACATGGGCAAACACGTTTTTTCAGGCCCACCCAAAAATGGAAAAGGTGCTTCTGCTCATTTAAGTGTGGCTTGGCCTCCTCCAAAGCTGGGCTTTAGGTGGCACAGTTCATTTGATGTTTCTGTCCCCATGGTGTGGAGCACCCTGAAGCTGGGTCTGGCAGTCTGCTGAAAAGCACTGCTTTTGGCTTATGCATTTTCATGGTAAGGTCTGTAGTTCCTAAGGAGAAGACGAATTACAGCTTGCAGCTGTCATGGGTCTTTTAAAATAGGTAGGGTAATACATGCTGTATAGAAGCACTGGGAAGTAAGGAACCTTTGACTGACAGTACCAAAATTCACTAGCCAGAAAGGGTCTGTACAAGGATGTACCAGGGGATATTCCATTTTAGCACGAGGCTGTTCGTCTAGGTTGTTCTTATACAGCATCTCCTCTGGGTGCAGGAGAACAGCAACACACTGTCACATCTACCCAACACAGAATCAGAGCTACTGCACTCTTGAATCTTTATCTTGGTTAACTTTTGCATTTCAGTAGCAATGTGCAGTCGGGTATAGGGGTTGTGATTTTTATTCTAGTCGCTGTGAAATGGCACTTACTTAAACAATGAAAGCAGATAAATTTAAAACCTTGATACGTGCTAACTTTGAACTGTAAAGCAAGTACTCTGATTTTCAGACAAATGATGGAAGCAATTGAAAAGTGTCTCTTCAGCTGCTTGGGTTCTTACTATTTTTCTGTTAATGTAACAGGAAGATGTGGAAAATGTCAGTAAACATAAAAAAAGAGCTGAAATGCATTTCTTCAAATACATGTAAAATCTATCTAGGCACATAATAGCATTACATTTTGCTCCTGAACAAATAGAAATGCTTGTCCCTCATTTGCTTGGCAGTGTCTTGGCCTCAGTCTTTTAAATGCTACATGTGTAATGATCTGTTATGGACAGATCCCAAAGGCACTGTTTTCATTATGATTTCATTGACTTTGATGAAGTCCTGAAAATATAAGGAAAATATAGCCTCTTACATTGATGGAAACATGGCCAAACTGCTTCTCAATTAAAGTTTGTGAAAGAAAGGAAGTGGCTTTAAACCTCCTCTGTGGTTGCCTGTTCTCTCTCTGCCCTTAGAAACTGTGGACCAGATATGCTTTCATTCTCAGCTGGGTTTTGGGTGGGTTTTTGTTGTTTCTGTGTTTTTTTTGTTTTGTTTTCTGGTAAGGAAAGTAGAACTCAACAGTTTCAAAATTGGCTGTCTTTGTGTTGAGCTACCTAAGGTCCAGCAGGTCCTTTCTAATAGAAGATGGTGCTGGAAGACAGCAGGTCCTACCTCTCCTAATTTCACAGCCTAAGCTTACAGCCACAACAGGAGCTCTTCAGAGTGGCATTTCACTGCTTAGTCAAAGCAGTCATGTGAAGTATCCTTAACAAGTTAGAGGACTGGACCTACTACCTCTGCAAGATAAAGCAGATATTTATGAAACTTTTATTCTGTATACAATTTTATGAAGTGACAGCCATGGGAATTTCCATGTTATGTGCAGAAAGACTTGCGTATAATTCCTTCATAGCAAAAGGTATTACCTGCTGATAAAGAAATGAGAAATAAGTAGATAATGAACATCAGATGATTTTGGAAAAAAATGCATTTTCCACTATACATCCACTTTCCAATGTATACATGTCTACATTTAGTTTTCACATAAAGCAAAGAGAACACTGTTTTCTGCAGCATAAAACCAAGGTCATTAATAATAAATACCAAGCTACTTTTCTAATAGGGCAATCTTGGAGTGTGCTGAGCTTCTTTTCTGAGATCTTAGCACCCTATGGATCATGTAGATTTCTGGGTATGTTTTTTAGTCTCTTTTTGCTTTTGGTCTGATTTTTAAGAAAACCTATACATATAAAATATAAGGCTGGAAGCTCTGTGGGTGGTATCGCCGATAGGAATTTGAATCTTGGGTTACTTCCCCCTTGAACTATGTTGCAAAATTAGTGAGTTACTGCCCTTTCCTCTCCCACTGTCTGCCAGAAGAGCTTGGGATGGCTTAGGAACTACCAGCTACAGTAGCTGCTTATGCTTACAGCCCAGTTACGGAGTAAGTCAGAGAATATGCTGCTTCTCCCACTGCACACCTAATATAGATCAATGTCTTTGGAGGTACTGTTGCTCACCATGACCAGAAGTACCTTTTCCATGGTTTGCTTTTGCTGAGAACTTTGTATATATATATATATATATATATATATATATATATATATATATATATAGTAAGAAAATATAAGAAGCTGGGTGTACATGTCCTAAAGCTTTAAGGGATCTCTGTATGTGTGACAAGGAAAGTGAGTCCTGTTTTTTGTTGACAACTTTCCTGGTTATTTTAAAGTTATGGCAATTTCTCGCTTTATTTTATGAAGTGTTTTTCTGTGACTGACTTTGAGTGCATGCACAGGCTGAACTGCAGGACTGGAGTCACTTGTGGGTGTGTTTGAGGATCAGGCCCAGTCTCCCATCATTCACTGCCTGTCCCTGCATGGGCAATTGGAGATGCTGTGAGAAGCCAATATTGTTTTGGTCAGTTCGGTATGATACATGGTAGGATCCAATGCTGTGACTTTAACCCTGCAAGCACACACCCTTATCATGTAACTCACCAGCAAACCGCTCCACTGAGTAGCTGAAGAGTCCATCTGTAGTCAGGGGGATAAAAAAAGCAACTGGAAAACCTGCTGGGATGAGTGGGGCCGGCTCTCCCTGTGCATGCAGCATACCTAGCTGCTTCCATCTAAGGGCTGCCTGCATTCAGGCAGGCTCTGGCTTTGTGCATACATGTGTAGTGGAGCAAACTTTTCCCAGTGTGGCATGAGTGCTTGCTGCGCTGAGTGGTGCAAAGGGAAGGGGACATGAGGGCTATGGCTCCCACTGCAATACAAAAGCAGATTTACCAGATGCTTCCTTTAGACTTGACCCTTTTTGGAATCTTTGAGTGGGAATTAATTTTTGGCTGGGAAAAAAAAAAAAAAAAAGGTTGTTTCCCACTTATTGTCTGAGAAATTTAGGGAAGGGAAAGGGGGTGGGAAGAGAGGAAGAGGAAGGGAAAACATTGCCATAATTATAAGGAGTTTTATTTATCTATACATCTATCTACATACACAATTTAAAATCTTTTGGACAATGTTTGGTAAGATCCAGGATTTCCTTGGTCTACAGCAAAAAGCCAAGTAGATTAGTGCTGATAAGTGATTTTCCTCAGTGGTTTTAACATGGGAGGAGGGTACAGAGGGAGAGGAGAGAACTCTTGGATGATTGACTGAGCTTCTGCGTTGAGGTCTGTTTGCTCGTGCAGTATACTCCTTAGCTTTTTGAGGAAGGCTGGTCTTATAGTGTGGGTGCTAGGGAGTGTGTACACAGAGAAGAGGCCAGGGCCCTGTCCTCCACCTTTGCCTGAGGAGGGGATCCCTTTCAAGGTAACCCCAGAAGGTCCTGTAACTGTTGAAAAGCCTGTCTGTAGCCAGAGGCCAGCATATCCTGGCACAGAGGGGTGGGTGAATTGGCCCAGGAGGCCCATCCGCTCCAAGGTGAGCATTTTCATTCAGCTATGTGCTCTCCTGGACACAATGATCACTGCAGCAATGGCTGCAGCAAAGATGGTAAGTTGTCTGCTGTGTGCAGGCTGGGGGTGTTGCCGAGTCTTTGTCTGGCAGCGTTCTACTTTGTGAGTCTTTCCCTTGTCTGGCTTTACGAGAGCAAACCTCTGCCTACTTGTCAGCATGAGGCGTAGCTAAATTTGTGGCTGGAATGAGGGCAATTTGCCAGTGCAGACAAGGTCTACATTGCTGGAAGAGAGGTGGTAGCCTCCTAAGAGCAGCACAGAGGAGAAAACTTGGAGGCGCCTGAAGTATAGCAGCCTCCTAAAAACTGAAAAAGCACAGTGAAGCAGTAAAGGTTTTTGGCTAAGAGCAGATGCCAAGAGAAGCATTGTTTTGTGTGTTTGTAGGTGGTGCACATGTGTTACGGGAATAGACTGTGATATTGCTCATGTTAATGCTGTACACTGCAGTAGGACACACGTGCCTCTGTGTGCACACCTCAGGCAGGCCTGGCCCTTTCACTGTGTAGGAGGCATGTGATAGCAGGTGCCAGTATTAATTCTTGCTAATGTGCTGCTTAGTGTTTTAGATTTGTGACATTGCTTTCAGGGCTTATATTAATTTTTACTGCTATAAATATCTGATTGCTTATAATGGCTAAAACAAGTTAGTGCAGAAAATGAGGAACTAGTTACAGTTTTGTTAGGTCCTTGGGTGTGTGTTTTCCTTTTATCTATCTTTCTCTACTCCATCCCACAGACCTGGATAACCTTCAAAAATCATTTGTATCCCATCTTCATTTTTGAGTCTCCTGCTTTAAAAGGTACTCAGAGAAAGGCACTGTTTTTCTGAATGCAAGCACTATCTAAACATAAACCCTCTGCTGTTCTAAACCTGTTGGGCACACAGAAGTCATCTGCTTAAGGGTATGGGTGTGATTTTGGGGAGAAAAAAGGTCTGAAGCACTAATCTAGTTGTACCTGTCTCTCTCTCCCCACTGGCTTGGGGATACCTGCCAACTGCAAAATTACACCAGTACAATTAGTCCTGTCATAGGCCAGTCAGACACAAGAATCCATCACACTGACAAGTACTCCTAGTCTTACCTGTGCATCCTGCTACTATTCAGACTGTTCCACACAAGGAAGAGAAGAAGGCGAGTCTTGCACTGCTGCCTTTGGATTTACCCTCTGGCTTACTTGAATTACTTACTTTGGTTTGCTGGCACGGAGGCAGCAAGTTGCAAGGTTCTAGCGCTCCTCATCCAAACCCTCTCCCTTCTTTTTGAGTGAGAGCAGATATCTTGGACAGGCAGGTTTTATTCTCCTCGGGGGTTTTATGGACCACCATGAAGCCAGAATGGTCAGGCTCTTCAAATGAGGTTCAAATACAGTGCTAGACTATACTGTGTAGAGGAAGAGCTCCTTTATGAGGATGGCATGCGGGGACCTGTAATTGTGCCATTTCCAGTGGACTGTCAAAAACGCATGGAAACACCCCATGTGCAAGGTAAACTTTCCTAGTGCATTGGGTGCAAGAGGAATAAGTTCCTGTGTACAAGAAGCATATTTTGCCTTTTGACATTTCTGCTTGTTCGATGAGTGACCAGACCTTCCATCTGTGGAACTTCGTTGAGATATCACAGCTATTTCCAGCAGGTGGCAGATGATAATCACACTAGTCACCAAATCTGGGTACAAATGATGTGTTTTCCAGACTGTTTATTCAAATATTGACTTAAATATACACATTATATAGTAGCTATAAATGTGTTTCCAACAGCAATAAAATAAGATTGCATAATTGGAGCCGATTAGTAGTTACCCATGATAATATGTAATTAAATACTTGGGAATCAAGTGTGGTATGATTTACTTTTTCTTTAAAAATTCAGCTTTGATTTTCTTTTTTTTTCTTTTTTTCTTTTTTTTTTTTTTATCTCTCAGATTAGAGAAATTGCTTCTATTCCAAAAACCTCCAAATAACCATCTGGCTAATTGTGTTTCATGGTATAAGATTATCTTTGTTCATGTACTGTGATGGGAGAGAGCTCCTTCATGCAGTCATGCCTGGATAATCAAAAAAACCCCACATGCTTTAAAGAATTACATGCTAAAACTATCGTGCCAAATTGTGCACATTGCCTTTTCTAGGTAGCATCTCATTGGCAGAGTAGCTCTGGGTAAGTGGTACTACTGACGGAGAGAGGGTTTATTTCAGATTAGCAGTCCCTAGTAAGGACCAGATTTAGTTCCTTTTGCTCTCATTAGTCGTTACTCAAACACATGAGTAATGCCAGTGGGTTCAATGGGAGCTATTCACCATGCAGAGAGAGGGTGGCATTCGCAAGCTGACCCGCCAGCACTGGCCTCAATGGGATTTTTGAGCAAATGGAAGACCACAGGATCTGACCCATAGTAAATGCGTGACTACATGGAAAAGTCTCGTCAGGGTTTATAGCTGCGTATGGGATAGCTGTGTCACTCACAGCACTGGCTGTGGATGAATTATTCCCAAAGCTTCCCAAAGTCAATGTAAACTTTGTAGCATCTGTCATATACATCTTGCTTATAGCACAAATCTGGGACATATCTCAGAGGCAGAAAAGCGTTTGTTTTATGGGTGTTTTTGGGTAAATGTTGGTAGCATAATCCTAGCGGCTTCCCTCTGGGGGACTGTACACCCCCATCCGGGGGGGGATATGAAGGAGAAGATGGGGTAAGAGCTCTCCTTGCAGTCTCACCAGAAGAGATACTATCGGTGCTGCTAAACTGAGGGGGGTTGCGGCTTTGCCTTGGAGCTGGAGAGCAAGGATGGAGCCCTGTGTTGTCAAATTAATTCTCGTAAGGAACAGAGAAGACTGCAGATGAGCTGGTGACATAGAAGCAAAGAAGACATGAAGATGACTATGGCTGCCAATATGCAGTTACTTGTGAAATACAGGTGTTTATATGCCTGCCTGCATAACCATGTATTTATTGTAAACAGCATTACCCAGTATTTAAAAAAAAAGTAAAAAGCCCCACTGCTGCTCCATTTTTCTTTCTCAAGATTATTTGCTGTTTTCACTTAGTTACAGCAGTTCCACAGAAGCCTGATGTGGGAGAGATGAGGATGGATGAATACTTATTAAACTGCAGTAAAATTCACCACATTTCATTCTTGTACATAATCACTGGTTTTGTTTTGAGTTTGTTTTTCTTTTTTTTCCATGTAAGATCTTAATGCAGTTTTATTACATTATAATCTTTTATGGGAGGGTAAAGGGATTTGTTCCTTAATAGGAAAGCAAAATTTATAGGCTCAAGTAAAGCAGATAGGACCCAGAACACAATGCTTCTACGAGTTTAGCCTGAAGGTATTTCATGTTGGTAAACTTAATCGGAATCCTGAATGTTCTGTGCTTGCTGCTGAAATGACTTGGATTTTAACAAAATCACATAATTTAGGAGGATGCTAGGTGGGCAGATTTTTAGAAGTGATGAACAAGAATTAAGAGAGCAAAGTGTTCTTTTTTATTCTTTTTTAATAAAGATTAAAAAAACATACAACAAGAAAATTAATTGTATTGTCTCAGCTATTGTAACAGCCAGTTCTCACTGGCTGCTTTTTCCTGTAATTAAAGCCATTTTTCTTTTCCCCATTCTGGCCTCTTCCTGGCCCAGAGTTCCAGCGACAACCGGCAAAAATGTGAGATGTTCTGAAAAGCCAAGCAGTAAGAAAGTAGACATGCTTTTCTGCCTCTACTCTGGGGTCACAGTGGAGATCTTTGCTTTCTTTCAGTGTAGTAACTGCAGAGTAATCCCTGGTTTTCCTGTTTCTGATGCACAGATCTATTTTTATCCAGTGTGTGAGTGCACTGTACATGTATATTCTACTGGTACATGCACGCAGAGTTCAGCAACAGCCATCTCAGTAGTGTCCGCTCTTTCTAATGTTTCTTCTTCAATTAAACTTCAGTTAAATTTTTGGGAAATCTGTACTTTCTTGTCACTGTTGCTGACATTTTGCTAATTAAAACCTTCTTCTTGTCATCATTCTCTTTCTTTCCTTCTCTCATGTAATGTAATGGCCACAGTGTTTTCCTGCCAGACTCATCATACAAGCAATTTCATTAGTTTGTTCATTCCTCTGTAGCTACATCAGATGGAGGCTCTTAGCCTTCAGAGACGCAAGGTAATCAGAGACTCATTCTTCAGTTTCCTGCTTACACAGATTATTTCTGCCATACCTCACTTCATGGAGGCTGGGGAAAGAACTGCAGTCTTTTCCTGGCCAGTTCTGGTTCTAGGACTTCAGGGCAGCCACTCGCCCACCCCTCCATTTACTATATTACTATGAAAGGTATCACTGCATGGGCTGAATTTACCACTTAGTCAGGGCATAAGATTCAGAGGCACTACTGAAGACATCTTTGCTTCTCCACTCACTTTGCCAGGGAAAAATATTTATTGGGTCACCATGGTCAGAGTAATGATATCACACAGCATCTCTATATGGATAGTAGCTGCCTTTAAGCCTCATATAAATATTATTAGTTGAAATTATCTATGTCTTCCTAAAACTCAATCACAATATCTTGCTCAGTCATCAGATCATAGTCTTGCTTTGTGTCACAGTGATATTTCCTTAGATTTATCTTAACTATGTTGTTCCTCTACATAAATATAGGTAGCAGCTTCACGCTACCCAGGGGATAGTAGGTTCATATTTTGTTAGTTACTTGCATAATGCAAAAGGAGATTAGAAAGCTTCTTATATTCTGTTTCCTCCCGAGAGAAAGCTATCATGTAGATCAAGAGAGGAAATTATTTCCTTGCTTGGCACAAATGAGTCACAGAAAATGACCTTCTTTGTAGTCTAATTTAGACCCAAGAATCCTCTGAAGAGCTGGTAATATAAACCCATATGGCTTGGATGAAGAAAGTTGGAAAAGATATTGTCATTAACAGACTCATCCACATCTTAAAAAGCAGCATTTTACTTTGCCTAGGTTTTTTGATCAGACTGCTAGCAGCTGCAACCCTCATGTTGCCTGCACATGTTATCTATAGTACACACACACACATGCTATACGCTGCTACTGAAAAAGCAATGCACAGTTCTGTGGCTGTTTCTTATAATGCATTTAACATCTTTAAAATACATATTCATGTGAGTTTTGAAACTTTGCTTTCATTTACATTGTTGGACTGCATGTCATGTCGATTTGGAGACAGATGTTTATTAGAGAGGAAGCAAAAAGCTATTAGCCTTATGTCAAGAAAACAAGAGGCAAGAGAAAATAAACTGGCACACTGACGCTGAATACATGAAAGCACTGTCAAAGAGCTTCAGCAGAACAGGGCTGGTGGGAAACCAGCAGAGTAGCTGGGAAGCACAGTGAGCTGCAAGTAACTATTTGCAGATTCTCATGTGAGGAAGATCGATTTATTCCATGGCAAAGAGTGTAAGAAGAAGCCAGCTTTTTTTTTTTTTTTTTTCCCCTTTCTTTCTCTTTTCCTTGCTATAAGGGTTCTTGGTTTCGTTTTGTTTCGTTTTGTTTTGTCTTTAATTACTAGTTTGGGTTTGTTTGTTTGTTTTTTTTTCTGTTTTGGGCTTTTGTTCTTAACACTGGTCTGTTCTGATTGTTGCTAATCTCAGTTCCCTAGGTATCTTGGTAGTTTCTTTTATGCTTAAGTACAGAAGTTGGTGATGCTTAAGTACATTTTAAAGGAAAGGCTGGGTTTATGGTTGAATTTTGCCACAGCCTTCCTGGACATATCCATGCTCTTGGTAAAGCTAGGCCATCCTGAAAAACAGTCTGGAAGTATGGTGGTGTGTAAGCATGTACTCCTAAAGCTGCCCAGCATGCCAGCGTCCCCCAGTCACACCTTTGGACTGGGATCCTTTCTGCTCAGGTTGCTTATGATCCTGGGCAAAGGATTTTAAAGCATCATGGGTCTCTTGTTTTTCATAATATACAAGTGGGAATCATGTCAGTGTACTTTTTTTTTCCAACCAGCAAATGTGGTACACCACACACCCTCATGAACAGCCATGCTAGCACAGGGAGAGGTTGCAAGCGATAGCTGAGGTTAGGACGTGGGGGGCAACCATCACCTTAGATAACAG